AAACACGAGTTGGGAAAAAAAAGAAAGAAAATGCATCATATTAAGAAAAATAAAATAAAATAAACGCGTAGCAGGGGTGTGTGTGTGTGTGAAAAACCACTACCGCAAACCTTGAATGGAAAAACAGAATCAATGCCGGACTCTCACAGTCTGTGTGGATAGAGATGAATTGGTTGTGCTCTCGCAAGAACAAAAGAAAAAAAAAACAGGAGAGGAAAAAATAAAGGAAAATGACCGACCCTCAACAGTGTCGGCGCAAAGTTTGGAGGTGCCCTCTTGCCTGTCCCGTAGGAACACGGCGCCTCTCGCGGCTGCAGCAGCAACCCGTGCAGTGCACGCCCAGCCCAGCCGATGTCTTGCGTGAGCAATTGAACCAAAGGGTTCGTTTGGCGTATGCCAACACACGGCCCATACTGACCTCACTCGAAAACCACGCGTCCGTGAACAGTCAGAGCGAGCTTGTTTGCGTGCATATGACGTCTGGATGATCAAGTTCAAATGCCGTTTCCTCCCGCCAACACATGCCTACAATTACGGACCTCAACTGCAACCTCACGCGTCCGTCCGTGGACAAACAGACTACTCCTTGCGCCGTACAGCAGCATACCAGCGCAACACACACGCCGCCACGCACTGACCTCACTGGAAACCCACGCGTCCCACTCTGCGCGTTCTTCGACCCTCCACCTCGGGGGCGGCCTGATGGGCATGGCGCACGTGTGCCAGTCTCCCAGTATCGACTGTTTTTTTTCATTGTTTCGATTCCACATGGACGGAAAAAGTGTAAAGGTTAAGGTTAGCGTTGGGGTGGGTTGTTAAAGGTTTCTTGCGGGTGGGCATGGCGCAGGTGTGCCAGCCAGTCTCCCAGCATCGACTGCCTTTTTTCAATCGAGGCCATCCGAGGCGTATGGCACGTTCAAGGAACGGAGGCTCAAAAAATACTATATTTACATGCATGTCACTTCCTAGAGAACATTTGTAAACTTGGTGCGTTTGGTACGGAGACAGGTGTACAGGTCAGGCGCGCCAAGTGCGCGCCCCGCAGTAGCCTCCCAGCATCGACTGTGTTGTTGCCGCCGAAAAACAGATCCTCGGCAGCTAGCACATGCTGGAGGAACAGAGGTCAATAAAAAGTGTGCGTCGACGGGGGTATATCTAGGTTGCACACATACGCAAGACACCACACCCCCCTGGACCGATTTTCGAAGAGCGGCGACGGTGCCGAAAACGGCGTAGTTGGGACCGTCGTTTCGCCGAGGGCTTTTTCCGAAAATGTATACGTCAATTCAATTTCGGCATCCTCGTCGTCGTGGAGGAGTCGACCTCTGCAAATCGGCCAAGGGGGGTGTGATGTCTTTCGCAACCCACGATATCTGGTGCCTGGGGGCGCGCCGGTACAACCAGTATCTCAATATTACAGTCTCCTTACTTTCTTCTTTTCTTAATATGGCACAACGACTCCATCTCTATCTATACAAAAAAGAGGCGAGATAGATTGTTGTTTTTCACCAACAGCTTTTGGAGAAAACGGCGAAAACAAACAAACAGAACGAACGCCTCCGTCTCGGCCTCGAGGTGGGAAGGAAAAAAAAAAAAAAAAAAGAAGAAAATAGCTATCGGAGGAAAATCTAAACGCAGAAAATGTAGAAACGCAGAATGAGGGTCTGCATCTCGGCCTCGAGGCGAAAAAAAAAAAAAAAGGAGTCGCTCGCCTGGCGCAACAGTCCCCCTAGCTCCGCCGCCGCACTTGCCGACCCGAGGGGCCGAAGCTCCTTCGCGCGCTCCCTGGCAAGGGCAAACGCCTCTGGAATCCCGCCACCGCCGCCCTGGCCAGCTGACGCTGGTGCTGCTGCTGCTGCCTCCTGCGGGGATGTCCTGAAAGCGTTGGGCAGGATCCGCGGGATGGGGGACAGCGGATACTGGCCGCCTATCGACGGAGCAGAGAAAAGGGGGACAGGCAAAAAAAAAAACGCAAGGTATGGTTTTACAAAAGTACAGTGTTGTAGTTAGCTTTCAAATTAAGCTGTCGCGAATGTGGGGCCCCCGACGGCCGAAGGGGGAGTGCTTCGCCTTTAAAGCATGGTTTTACGCATGTAGTGCCATATTGGGCGGCAGTTAGCCTTTACCCACGGAAGACAGGCGTCCGCATCGTTGGGCCAGCAGTGCAGATGATGGACGGTAACGGGTAGAGGTCGGTGGAATAGCACGACGACAAGGCAACAACAGCGACAACGACAACGACGACGACAACGACACATCATCATCAACAACAACAACAACAACAACAACAACAACAACAACAACAACAACAACAACAACAACAACAACAACAACAACAACAACGACAACAACAACAACGACGACGACGACGACAATGACAGCAACAAGAGCTCGTGATGCCGCAGCGCGTGGGCCTTGCTTTCCAAGCCTTCGTACCACATGTGCGACGTTTCTGCGAAGAAAACACAGCACAAAGCACTTCGTGGTACCCATGATGGCCCTGCGAACAACACATGCAACAAACACCTCTCCGTATTTTTTCGTCTTAGGGTGTTTGTCCGGCCTCGTTCTTGGCATACCTCCCAGTGCCGTTCCTCCAGGGCCTTCCGCCGCCGCAGCAGAAGAAGAAAAGCCAATCCCGCTCCCCTCCCCCGCTCCCGCCCAAGCCCCAGCCTCCGTCTGAAACGTCCTCTCGCCCTGAACGGCGGTGGTCGAAGCCATCATCCCGGTCACCGTCCGCGGCGCCGGGGGGAGGAAAGTCCTTCGAGTGGGGTTGCTATCGCTGCCGCCGCCGCCGCCGCCGCCCCCACCGCCACCGTTCCCGCCGGTTCTGTCGCCTGTGCTAGCGTCGGCTCCTTCGCGGGTGCGGTACCTTTCCATGGGATCTGCACACCCGGCGGCGGCGGCAGCGG